AAGGAAGGAAGGAAGGAAGGAAGGAAGGAAGGAAGGTCATTTCTAACGTATCTTCTGAATGGAAAACTGGCCACTCCCTTTGCTGACAGGAACTTGTAAATTTCTGAAAAGTAAATTCATGAGGATCCTAGTTCACGATTTGCTAGTGGTTTCCCCGGCTATTATGGTCACGTTCCTGTCGCTGCTCCTCCCACACACCTGACAGTGAAAATTGCACTAATGAATCACAGACTATTGAAACATGTGGAAACAAGTATTTCGTTTTAAATGACTTTTCTGTGAATATGGCTTATTTGAGAAAAAAACAAATCTGTTTACATTGGCAATAGCAGCAAATAAGGAATAACGTTATATCTGGTTAAGTAAAAAGATGGAACATTGTTGTACGTGTAGGAGAAAACCTCAGGTAATTGGTTCTCATCAATCAGATATGGAAGAAACTTGAAACAGGATGATATTTTTCTTCTGTTTTTAACCTCTTTGTGAAAAAGACGACTTGAACAAAAGAAAAGCTTGAAAACTGCAGTATGCATTTCTTAAACCAAAGTATGGAGGAAACGTTTTTCAGCATCTCAAAATCTGCCTGTATGTATATTATAAGTGATACCAGATAGAAACAATACTAAACACATAAATTGATTTTCCCCAGTTGGTACTTAAGTAGAAACAATATTTCCTTGAAATTGTGTTTTACCTCCAGGTTTTGTTTTTTTTATTTAAAGCTATTTTGTTTGATGAAGTTTGGGTTTTCACCTTCATGGATATTTAGTCTAGTGACTACATTTCTGTCTGTAGTATCTTCTTATTTATATGTTCTTCTCATGTTTTGAAAAGATGGTACCGTTATCTGAGAAGCCCAGAGTTAAATGATCACAATTCTATTAAATTGATAGTCTTTTGCATTAGCACTTATAGCTTCTTCGTTCTCTGAAAAAGGTCAGTAAACAGTTCTTGATGCCATTAAAATATTATGATTTTATTTCGGCGTGTAGTTACTTTGTACTGCTTTTCCAAGGAATTATATCAGTTAGGAATGTTTTAGGTCCTAGGTAACAGAAAGTCCAATTAATTGACTGCCACATTAGAAAAACATTTTTTTTCCTTGGGGCCACAGTGTTTTATTAGGTCAAGATAGGTGAAGAGACATGTGAGTTATATATGCTTCATAAGGCCCAGGGCTCCAAACTAGTGTAAATTAAATATAGCTCACATGGCAGTTACTGTGTTCATAGTGACAAAAAAATCTCAGGAATGTATGTATTTCTTCCAGTGATTCTGTAAGTTCAATACTTATGTTACAGCTCTGTATGTCGTCATTACATAATTTCTATCTTTCTGCTACCCTGTGCTGAGTGGATGGTTCTCATGCTCACGGTAAGAAAGGGCATGATGCTGTATATCTAAGTATGAAGAAACTTAAAAAGGACAAAGGGCCAAATAAGCAGATTCTGTCAACTGATAGCCAAGAATGTCAATTGAAAATTGTGGTTATATCTCACTGTGTAGAACTGGATCCCAGGTGTACCCTAGTTACAAGAAGATAAGTGTTTTACTATTCCATGCTCTGTAGAAGAGGGAGGAGAGGGAGAAAAAGGTTAGGAATTCCTACAAGGGTAACCAATTTGCAAGATTTTCTTAGAGATATTTAAATAGCCACTTGCCTGAGGATTAGCCAATTGTATTAAAACACTGGGTACCAGAAGATTGCCCTCTCCTGCCCCACCTGGTTTCTTCAGTGAAATAGAATCAATAGGACATGTGTGTTTGTGTGTGTGTGTGTGTGTACGGAGGGTGCAAAAAAACATATACACATTTTTAAGAAAGGAAAAAAGCTTAAAATCATAATACTCAACATAAACAAATAACATTTTTTATCTTATATATTGTATCTTGTATCTCTTGTAATTACAAAAATTAAATGTGAAAGGACTATTACAATTTTAAAATAGTTTTTTTCTTTCTTAAAATATGTATACCTTTTGGTGCGCTGTCTGTGAGAATAGAGAGATCTATCTATCTATACACACACACACACACACGCACACACATATATATGAATATAAAGAGATTATAAGAAATTCTCTCATGATTATGGAGGCTGGGAAGTTCCACAATCTGAAGTTAGCAAGCTGGAGAATCAGGAGAGCTGAGTCAAAAGGGGTTAGAACCAGTGGAGCTAAAGGCGCAAGCACCAGCTCAAGTCCAAATTGAAGGCAGAGACTGATGAACTGGTTAAAGACAGACAAGAGAGCAAATTCTCCATTACTGCAGCTTTTTGTTCTACCCAGGCCCATACATATTGGGAGGAAAATCAGCTTTGCTCGGTCTACTAACTCAAATGTTAATGTAATCCAGAAACACTTCAAAGACACACCCAGAATGATATTTGCCCAGGTCTCTGGGTGCCTGGTTACCTAGTAAAGTCTGTGCATCACATTTATCACCATACACACTTACTCCATGTGGTTGAGAAGAATTCGTTCAAGCACTCAACTTCCAGAAAGCGAGGAGGTTGATCTCTTAGCTACAAGTTTATACCTAACATGGGAGTTCTGGCTCCATTAAATGTAGTGCTAATGTAAAGGATGGTGCCATTAGCTAAGAAGCCCAGAGTTAATGACTCTAGATCAAGAAAATCAGCATCCCACCCCAGATTGAGAGACAAAATGAGGACTCCTGGGTAGAGCAGCTATTCCAGAGGAAATACACTGTAATAATTGGAAAAACATATCTGAGATTGCCATTAAGCACAGCATAAGCAGAGCCTGCTATTACAGGGCCTGAGGCTGTACCCTTCTACTAATAATTGACTAGTCCTGCACTGTGGTATGAATATAGAAAATACATTGATTCTGTCTAATAGGGGAAAGGAGAACTTTTCATGAGCCTTGTGGGGCTCCTTTCTTCAAGTCACAGGATAAGAACCAAACTCTCCATGGTAACTTCAGAATTCATTGTTTTTTCTTAAGAGGCTAATGAGAATTTTGTGGCAATGTAATTCTCTGGGGTATCAACAAACTTTTCAAAATTTCCCATGGTGAGTGTGCTTCTTGGGTTTCTTTGAGAACTCTTGCTAGAGTTATACAATTATTTTCTTCCTTAAATTATCAATGTATTTTCTAATAGTTGAAGTCATGTATTTGTGTAAATATGTTGAATGCTTCTCTAATATCTCACATGCAAACTCTTACTTAGGATATCAATTTTATAAATATCAGTGAGGTGTTATAAAAATTACAATGTTTTTTCTTACTTCGTGGGAACTCGAAGCGCCTCTTCTGCGGCCGCACGCACCTCGCCTCCACTCGCCTCCATGTACCGCTACCTGGGCGAAGCTCTGCTGCTGTCCCTGACCCGGCCGGCCGGCGGCGCCAGCATCGTGGAGGCCAAGCTGGTAAAGGACCTGAAGGCCGGAGAGAGCGAGGAGCAGAAACAGAACCGGGTGCCAGCATCCTGCGGATCATCAAGCCTCGTGCTGAGCCTCTCCTTCCTTATCCCGCGTGACACCTGCTCCTGGGAGGTCATGGAGGGCTACCGGGCCCAGCACAGCCAGCACCACACGCCGTGCAAGGGAGGTATTCGTTACAGCACTGATGTGAGTGTAGATGAAGTAAAAGCTTTGGCTTCTCTGATGACTACAAGTGTGCGGTAGTTGATGCACCCAGTGGGGGGTGCTAAAGCTGGTGTTAAGATTTATCCCAAGAGCTATACAGATAATGAACTGGAAAAGATCATAAGGAGGTTCACCATGGAGCTAGCAAAGAAGGGTTTTATTGGTCCTGGCAATGATGTGCCTGCCTCGGATATGAGCACAGGGGAGCGGGAGATGTCCTGGATTGCTGACACCTATGCCAGCACCATGGGGCACTATGACATTAATGCACATGCCTGTGTTACTGGTAAACCTATCAGTCAAGGAGGTATCCATGGACGAATCTCAGCTATTGGCCGTGGTATTTTCCATGGGATTGAAAATTTCATCAATGAAGCTTCTTACATGAGCATCTTAGGAATGACACCAGGGTTTGGAGATAAAATATTTGTTGTTCAGGGATTTGGTAATGTGGGCTTGCACTCTATGAGATATTTACATCATTTTGGTGCTAAATGTGTTGGCGTTGGTGAATCTGAGGGGAGCATATGGAATCCAGATGGTACTGACCCAAAGGAACGAGAAGACTTCAAATTGCAGCATGGATCCATTATGGGCTTCCCCAAGGCAAAGCCCTATGAAGGAAGCATCCTGGAAGCTGACTGTGACACACTCATCCCTGCCGCCAGTGAGAAGCAGTTGACCAAGTCCAATGCACCCAGGGTGAAAGCCAAGATCCTTGCTGAAGGTGCCAATGGGCCAACAACTCCAGAAGCTGATAAGATCTTCCTGGAGAGGAACATTATGGTTATTTTGGATCTCTACTTGAATGCAGGAGGAGTGACAGTGTCTTACTTTGAGTGGTTGAAGAATCTAAATCATGTCAGCTATGGTCGTTTGACCTTCAAATATGAAAGGGATTCTAATTACCACTTGCTCATGTCTGTTCAAGAGAGTTTAGAAAGAAAATTTGGAAAGCATGGTGGAACTATCCCCATTGTACCCACAGCAGAGTTCCAAGACAGCATATCGGGTGCCTCTGAGAAAGATATTGTGCACTCTGGCTTGGTGTGCACAACGGAACGTTCCACCAGGCAAATTATGCGCACAGCCATGAAGTATAACCTGGGGTTGGACCTGAGAACAGCTGCCTATGTCAATGCCATTGAGAAAGTCTTCAAAGTGTACAGTGAGGCTGGTGTGACCTTCACATAGGTGGATAATGCCTGACTTCCTCACTATCCTCTTCACCTGTAACTTCTGCAGACCTATCACAAGTTTACATGTAACCACAAAAATCCCTTTCTCTCATGACTCATTAGATAATAGACACCATTCTCAAAAAGTCAAACCAAATCAGTCCCTTAAGAAAAAAGAAATTAACATTAGGGGATCATGTACAGTCCGAGGAGTGTGAAAATGTAGGTCACATACAGAGAGCCATTTTAGGTATTTTTCCATTAAATAAAAGTTCTCACTCTGGCTCTTCCCAGCAGTCAGTGCTACTGCCAGGGAAGGCGCAGTCAAGAGCAGTCAGTTACTTGCTTCTTTTGCTCTGAAAAAGTCTGGGATGTGCTGTAACTTTAACACATTTAAGAAGTAGGTATGTGACCATTTCAGAAGGTGGCATGGTCCTCAAGTGAGTTATTGGTATTTTACATCAGCAAAATAACTCAATTGTACAGACTGCAAACAGAAAGAAAAGCTGTTTCTGTTTATGCATTTTATTCTTTTAGAATAAGTACATGCTGCTGTAATAAAATTGCCTTTAATTACGTAAGAAGCCTACCCTTGACTCAAGCAGTGAATGCCTATAAACATAATAAATGAAAAAAGCTAGTATTTTTATACCATAACACAGTATCATTTATAGTTGTCAGTCATGTATTGTTATCCAGCTAAAACAAAAAGCCCTGTGAAGAACTAAGTTATCTTCATATCTGTAAGTGTTGGAGACTATTTTAGTTAAGACTGTCAGAATTTGCTAACTATATAATTATGACACATAGTCCAAAGAATGCAGTAACCTCCTTATCATGTTAATTGATTGTTCTCTTTTGAAGATCTATTGTCTTGACTAATTGAACAGTAATTCAAATAGAATATCCCAGGAAACAACCCCTTGGGCTCTCCTGTTTGGAGTCTGGATGACTCTGAGCATTGCCAATGGCCCCTTCCTGGCCTACCTTACATTCTCTCCTTCAGAGACTTTGCATTCTGCACCCAGCTTTGTTAACAGTGAGCTGAAAACAACCTTAGGTCGAGTGTTTGTTTTGGGAGTTACTTGGCCAGGGCCTTTTGAATTATAGTGTCCCAATGAAGGGCTAGATAATATATGTTTAAGAATGAACTTTTTTTTTTTAAAACTGTAATAACTACTTTCAGAAATTTCTAACTACTTTGTAACTGCATGACTTAACCTGGTGATAAAAGCAGTTATTAAAGCCTACCTGTTCCAAAAAAAAATTTACAATGTTCGAATAATCAGAATTTTAAAAATAAGATTGTTGGTGGTGGCATAATCAATATAAACTTTGATATAAATTTTGAACTGTGATAGATAACAAAGGAATTGTCTATAAGATGATATAAATAATATCTCCAGAGTGGATAATATTTAAGTTTGTGGTAGACCTGGAGTCAAACTTTCATTTTTCAATATATTCAATACCTTTCAGGAACACATTAGTAATAGCTATTTGGTGAGCATTTTCTGTATAAATATTAGAGGCATCTGATTTTGACCCCTACACATATCTAACATGACTGGTCAATTTTAACTCCCATTGTTAAAGGACAATGGATAAATTCTTGTATCCCATGAAATAACATTAAGTGTATGTAATTATAAAAATCAGAATAAATAGGACCTAAAAGACAAGCATAACTGACCATAATAATTCAAGTAATTAAGGGAAAACAGAACAGGAAATTAATTTTTTCTTACATAATGCAGATAATTGAGAAAATTTTAGCCATTTGTTTTTTAGAGTTTCAGTACATAAATCTCTTGGCTAATGCATTCCAAGCCATAGAAACTTGGTGGTCAGTGCAAATTGTCATAACAGGAAAAGAAAATTATGTTTACTGCTATTAATAATTAATAGCCCATAACAACCAAGGGCGTTGTTAGTAAATGTATATGAAATGCTTTGGGTGGGTCATTTAATGTCATTGCAATAGAAAATCTCAAAATTGAACATGCTCTTCCTGTCAATGTTAATTTTACTTCATTAATCTATCTCAAAATCACAGTGATTTCCAGTCTAAATGGAACAATTTAAATTCTTAATATGAGGCTGGGCATAGTGGCTCACATTTGTAATCATAGCACTTTGAGAGGATGAGGAGGGAGGATCATTTGAGGCCAGGAGTTGAGACCAGCCTTGGCAACGTAGTGAGATCCTGTCTTTACAAGTAAGAAGAGTGAGCTGGGTATGGTAGCACGTGCCTGTATTCCAGGTACTCGGGAGGCTGAGGCAAGGAAATCACTTGAGGCAGAAGTTTGAAGTTTCAGTGAGCTACGATAATGCCGTTACATTCTATCCTGGGCAAAGAGAAAGACTCAGTCTAAAAAAAAAATTCTTAATATGATTTATGACATATACACTATATGTAAAGAATTCTAATTATACTATAAAAGGAAAAAATGGCATGGTGGCCTAAGGAACAGAATATCTTTTGTTTTTTTCTCGTTGTTTTACTTTAAAACGTGTTTCTATAGGAACATTTTTTGTGGTTGTGCCTGACATGCTGGGAAATTGGTATACTCTGAACAAAATAATAAAACCATGATGTAGAACTACTATTTTAGAAGGGTCAATAAAGCTATTTACTTTTTCCCACTATCTCCCATGTATTGCTACACAGTGCCTAAACTTCAGTGGACCGACAATGACTTAGTACTTGTGTAAACACTTTTAGACTCCCAACAGGACTGTCCCTCCTCACTGTGGATGGACAATACTGTCTCACATAGTCAGAGGACAATTTAAAATTAGGCTAGTTTAATTTCCTCACCTTTACACAAGGATTGGCACAGCAAGCTTCAGCTATTCTCAATCTTGGAATTTTACTCTAGACCATGGAAAAATGAACAAGTCAGCCTAGATTTGCACATGTACGTTTAATCTCCTATATGATCATGACCATTCAGCAGGAGAAATAACATGTCTATGGTGCCCAAACACTCTTTTGAATTTTAAAGCTAGAGTCAATTCTTTCAACCTCTATTAAAAGTCCTTACCATCTTTGGCCTTTTGTGTTGGCACAACCTCCCAGTCTTACCTCAAGGTGAATCTAGTGAGAACACAGAAAGGTTTAGCTTTTTCATCTTCTTCTTAGGTCATTTCCATATTTTATTAAGGCTACTAATATTATTATAATCATATTATTAATATATTATAGGAAGAAAACAATTTATTAAGCAGCTGAGAGTAGCCGTGTGAACAGTTTCAATTGTTCTTGAAAATTAACAATACTTCAATTAACTCCCATTCATTCAAATGCATTCAAATAAATGCCAAACATTTCATAAACTCTGACTTATGTTCCCTCCTGGTTTCTCACTCTCTATTTTTTTTTCCCCGATCAACTGACATTGATGCTTTTCCTTCCCCCATATAAAAATCTCCCACTTGCCTGCTGAATTCTCCACCTGGTTACTAACTCTTTGGTAATTAGGTTGAGGTAGCACTTCCTGTATATAACAGCAACTTGCTGGCGCTGTGTGAATCTAGTCTTTGAGGTTTACTAAATGTTATACTCATTTATTCTCATTAGTGCTTGAATCCTCTGAGAACTGTAAATTACTAGTATGTCAGGTGGTCTGACTGAAAGACACGCTAAGACTTCTATTGCTTCTGGACACGGAAAAGAGTCAGAACTCCCAGAATATAAAGGGATATATATTTTGTCATTATTGCAGTGAATTTTGTCCTTGATTAGATATGATTTGCAACCACTACTCTATGGAATGCTGTCATTTTAGCTTCATCTTTATTAATTTAGTTAGTGTACCAACTTGTAGTGAATTTATGAACTGTGGCTTATAATTTTCAATAGAAAATGCAGACATTGACATTCAAACAAAACCACATAGGCTGCTGTTACTAAAGCAAATACAAACATATTCTCCCGACATATTCGCAGCTTCATTGGTATCTTATGCCTTTGCACTTGTGCTGTTTAATAACTTGAAATATATTATTAAAGATATGTGATGAATTTACTAGATTATTTTTATACCTCAACATACTGTTTTAAAATTAAATCTAATCTATGGAAGGTCCTATTCACACCTTGAAACATTAAACCCTTCATATCTGTAGCTATCCATACTTTATCTCAGTATGCTTTATATTTTTTAATCTTCAACTCTTTTTTTATCATAACACTGTTTTTCCATGGGACAAAAGCAGGAGTGTGTGTTTGTTTGTGTCTGGGGGAGGGGGGTTGGCTTTGAGTCTTTTGATTCATTCCATCTAAATGTGAGAAAACCATTGAGCATAACTGATAAAGTAAATACCACTAAGATTTAAATATTTCAGAGATAGCTTGAAATCTTTGTTTCATTTACTTAATATGAACTTTATACATCTGTAAACTGGAGATACTCAACCCTTATACACCAGTGTCGTAGGATCATGTTCATAATATAAGTAAAATTTTATCCCCTAATCCCCTTTGTTGTTGATTCTGTGCTAAAATCTAACTGCCTAAAATTCTATCTTTGACCCTAGTTCATGACTTTATTTTATTTTATTTATTTATTCATTTATTTTGTGGCAGAGTCTCACTAGTCTTGAACCTGTGAGTTCAGACAATCCACTGGCCTCAGACAACTCCCAAGTGCTGGGGTTACAGGCTTGAGCCACTGTGCCTGGCCCTGGGCTATTTTTTTTTTTATAGACAAGGTCTTGCTTTGGCTCTGGCTCAGGCTGGTCTTGAATTCATGAGCACAGGCAATCTATCCTCCTCAGCCTCCCAATCTTTGCATTTTATAAAATAACATTAGCAAATACTAATAAAGCAGTCAATGTTTCCTCTTACTCTTTGGCAATCCCCTAATTCTTTTCACATTTGAAATCTGAGCATTGGCAGTCAGGGTAAAGAACACTATTAGTTTCTGTTAACTCTGCTAGGTTTATTTACTGTACCTTAAAAAGTGGGCCCAACCTCAGATTTCCAAACTCACTGGACTAGAATGCCTACATTTATCTCCTAGAGCCCAGTAGATCATAATTTTCATTAAACTCATCAATCTTGGGCTCTCTTATAATGACATTGTATGGTGAATGCTGTGATATGACCTGAATATTTAAAAATGTCCAAGTCGTTCCAAAGGGAATTGCCAAAATGGAAAAGAATTAGAGTGTCATTAATCAAACACTAAATTCTTAGTACGAAAACTTTGAGTATTGATTGTAATCTGGTATTGGGTTATAAATTAGTAATTGCTTAACACTTAGAAAGTCATTGTTTTTGTATGTAAATGGTTAAAATACTGTATTTGGATTAAATAAAAATAACTGGTTCTTGTGTGTATAAGCCATATTATGATAAAGCCTTAATTTCTTAGGTATCTGAACCACTATTTTAAGAAAACATGTCATGATGTATATATTCATTATTTATTATTATCATAGACTTATTATTATTTTGGACCTTCATTAGATAGGTTTTATACCTTCTTTGTAACTAAGGCAATCACTTACAAGCTCCATAGTAGTCATATTAACATTTTAAATCATTTTACTTATTTGCATATTTGTT